GTTGGTGTCTACCCAGGGCTCAGGCTCGTTGCCTTCGCTAAACTCTGCTGGGGGCAGCGGACTTTCGAAGCCTTTGAGGACGTTTTCTCTGTCGAGCCAGGACGATCTCCGTCGCCGAGCAACAGCTGCAGCTGCTGCTGCTGCTGCGTCTGCCGTTGTCCTTGCTGCGTCTGCTGCTGCGTCTGATGCGGCTCGTGTGGCTTTCAGGGAATTATCAACACCATTTGGAGTCTCCCGGAACCAAGGTCTACCCACCGCACCGCGCGCTGTGAGCGCCTGCACACTTTCAGTAGCAGTGTGCTTCTGCAACTCGCATTGTTTTTGCTGGTGCAAGGCCTTCACGGGACTTCCTAGAGAGCAACCTCGCAGTGCCGCTGATGCTGCTTCCGCTGGGGAGGGCAGTAAAGGCCGGCAATGAGCGCCTGATAATAGCACTACAGCAGATCGCGCGCCGCAGACAGAAGAGGAGCACATTTATGCGGAAGCTGAAGTTCCCAATACAGTTCCAAAGTATTCACTAGCGGCAACACAAGACGCACAGAGAGCCCTGCCAGTAAAACCATAGGGCGTGCTCATTAAGCAGGTTAGAAAAAGCAGGGGCAGGATGCAGTGGCTTCATCATACGCACAAACGGAGCTACAACGTGCAAAAAAGTACGGAGACCGAAATAGGCCAAGAGGGTGCCAAAGGTGCATTTGCAATAAGCGAGAGAGACGCACATGGAGACAACGAGGAGACATAGGTATTAAGCGCTGCACGGGAACACAGAACCATGAGGGGACTATTCAACACGGAGATATACCGACAGGCAAGTAAGGATGGCATCTGGAAAACAGAAAACAAAACACGGAGGGAAGCTAGATCAAATGCTAGTGGAGCAGTCTGTCCTTCCCGGAGGGAGAACAGTCGTCAGGCACAACCAGCCACTGCTGGCTGAGCTTTCGATGCAAGAAAACGCAAAAAGAGACGTCTAGCACCTAAGGGAAACAAAAGGCCACAAACGCAAATGGAGATGCAGTGACAGCTCTACGCCTACACGCCAGAGTCATTCCCCCCGTTCCAGCTGTCGGCCCTTGTCCACTGTCAAGCCGTTTGCGAGACAGTTTCTGCAACGAAAGCAGATGCTGCTCTTGATGCTGCCGCAGAAGGGCTTGTAGGCACAGTTGTCTCCTCAGCATCCCCGAGTAGCACCGAAAATTTCTTTTGAGAGCTTCGCTGTCCTGCGTGCCCTCTTGAAGCAAACGCATCGAGGCCGATAGTGGTTCCTCCGGCACCACACCCTTGCCTGGAGCGCTGTTCCTGTACTTTTCTGCCTTCGCTTCTGCTGCTACTGCTTCGTTCAAAGCAGAACGCGAAATTATCTTGTCTAGCTGAACCTTTTGGTGCGTTCCCGGCCTCCGTTTTGGTCGATTCGTCGCCCAAACCTGTTGCACGGGCTCCTGCAGCCGCAGATCTCCAGGGACTGCCAGGGCCAATTGCACTTCGCCGGCGCCTGATACTGGCGTTTGGGGAGTTTCTGCTGCTGCTGCCTCAGCACCCGTGCCGTGGGCCCACCCAGAGTCTTCTTCTGGAAACTGCCAGCCCCCAAGGTCTCCATCTTGCTGCTGTTGCAGCGACGGGTCCGCGGCCCAGCCATCAGGCGTCCTGATAGCCGGCATCGAATCCCTTGTTCGTTTGCTGTTCTCACTGCCTATGGATGATGGCTCGGATGGCAAAAGCGAGCGCTGCTGATGCTGCTGAAGTCTGAAGGGAGAAGCAACTCTCGGATCTACAGCGGCACCCACGGCAACTTCCAAGCTCAACGGCTCCTGCGCAAGCAAACCATGATGTTGCTGCTGCTGATAGCTGGACGGCGGCAGCAGGGCGCTTTCTACTGAGCTGAAGGAGCTTCGCCGGGATAAACCTTGCTGCACTACTGCAGCAGTAGCAGCTGCTGCTGCCGCTGCTGCAGACTGCCACGACATCAGCGCCCAGTGCTCAGGCCGGCTGGTCCCTGCTTGCTGAGATTTGCTGGAGGGCGATTCTGCAAGTGACACAGCAGCGGTCGCAGCATGATGAGGGGCGAAAGCGCCAAGGCTTGTAGTACTGGAGCCATTAGAGGAAGCCCTTCTAAGGGGAACTCCACCTCCTCCAGGTGACCTCAAGGCCCCGAGCTGCATTAAATCTTGACGCAGGGCTGCGAATGGAGAAGAAGCAGCTGAAGGGCTCAAAAGTGCAGCACTCTGAACCTTTTCAAACGAGCCAATGTACCTAAGAGGTGGGACAGGCATCACACGTTCAGATACTGCACCGGTGCTGCTACTGCTGTTTGTGGTGCCGTTTATGCCGTTATAGGGGAAATTTTGTAAAAGCAACGAAGCACTGGCATACCTGCTAAGCGCAGCTGGCCCTTTTACCTCCCTAGGCTCTCTCCGAGCGTTGCTGATATGCTGCAGCAAAAATTCTGGTTCCGCACCGCTTTCTGTAACGATATCTGCTAGCTGCAGTGAAGTGTCCTCAGCAAATTGCTGGTCATCGTGGCCTCGCTGCTGCGGTTGCTGGTGCTGTGATCTACGGCGCTTGCGGCGGCCAAAGACGCGGGAGCGGCCGAACAGGCCAGAAAACCCTTCCTGGCGTCTGATCGCAACAGCATTTCCCGATTTGCGGCTGTCTGCTGCTGCAACGGCGCTACTGCTTGTGGCATCTAATGCAAGAAGCTGCAGGCGCGCCCACAGAGCTGTTGCTTCCTGGGAAAACAGCAGCACTCAAAGCGCCCACGCCAGCATATGGAAAAGCGCCGCAGCTCAGCGACAAGGTAGCAGACCTCGTAGCAGTAGACTGCTCCTTACCTGAAGTGTTAAGGAGATCAATACAGACATTGCCACTGCAGCGGCCCAGAGCAGCTGCGGCAGCAGCTGTCCGTACACTGCAGTTGCATCAGCGTAGGCAGAGGAATCCGCCAAGGCCCCACAAGGGGGCAGTAAATCGGTCTCCAACCGGGCTGAAATCCAGCTGCAGACCTCTTTGAGGTCTATCTGCAGCAAAGGCTTCCTGCAGCAGTGGCAGAAGCCACAGCAATAAAAGCGTTACGCGAGAAAACGAGTTAGGTCATAGCGCAGAGGGGAATTGGAGCAAGGGGACGAAAAAAAGCTCGGAGCAAACAGGCTGCGCGAATTTTCAAATAGGGGAATGGTTGCTAAAGAAGGTAAACAATGTTGCAGGATGCAAAGAAAAGAGGCAAGAACAATGGCACGGGATCCAATGTGCAGCAAGAAACAGAAAAAGGCTCTCGCCGGCAAACGCTTGCAGCGCATCTCGCTTAAGTGCACAAAACATAGCAACATGGACTGTTGAGCCTCGCAGGCATGATAAGAAGCTAATACAAAAAATGTGTTTTTCCGGATAATGGGCGAGCGCTAAGTGTCAGAACGCCCTGAGTAACTGTGTACCTCCTGCGCAGTTGTTTGCCTTCGAAAGAAATCCTCCAGAGGTCGCGGACTGCGCTGGGGGCCTCTTCAAGATGCAAAAAAACCCTTGAAACAGCTCGCCTGCGTAAATCTCCAAGAGGGCTCCCTTCTCGGCGACGTGAATGCATTGGAGCATCGGTGTATGGACACCGGCTTCCACCATTTCGGTCAAGGTGCACAGGGCGCAGGGCTAGACAAACAGAAGAGCCCTCATCTGCTGAACGAGAAACAAAGGACTCGGAAGCCATGCATGCCTTTTGAGTTGACGAGGAGGTGAGCCTCAGGGGCTCCAGGGGTGCCTTCAGGATGTCAGGGTCATCTGCTTCGCTGCTGCAGTTTGGCTCGGGGGCTTTGTTCTCCTCGTCCTCTTCATGGCTGCCTTCAAAAAAACTCGATTCAGCTGCGGTATTAGCAGGGAGAGAGGCCATTGCTGCTGAACTCCCCACTCAAGCTGAGACTGTTGCTGCCGCGGCCTCTCGAGGCTGGTCGCCTCTAGGTGCTGCCTGGACGGTGCAGGAGCCTGGCACCATCCCATGGATCAATGCATGGGCGTGCGTCCACAGGGCCACGCAGGGGCTAAACCTGTGTGTTTGCTTGGCATAAAATCAGTTCCTTTAGGAGCGGATGACACGATACGCTTGCTGCTGCTGCTTTGTTCGCCGCTGCCCTAGTTCGTCCCTCTGCTGCTGCTGCCGCTCCTGTTATCAGAAAGTAACTTTGCTGCCCCTCAGACTTCTCTCATCTCTCCGTTTTTGGTCTACTGTGCGGAACGCCGAACGACCTCACCACCCCCCGAATGCCTCTGGCCAGGTCCGGAAACTGCCGTCGGCCATCAGAGGCTATGCTTGGATTGAAAAAGACAAGTAAATAATCACCTTTATTTTCTTTTTTACGGTAGGCAAAAAGTTAAGTGTAGCCGGGATGTTGAAGTTTAAGTAGAGAAAAGTGGATCGGGGGCCCGCGAATCGGCAGCAGCCAAATCCCACAGCGACTGAAGCATGCAGCTGTGCAGCATTAGAAGCCCCTGTTTAGCTCGAAAACAGAGAGACGCGATCTGTAAAAGATCTGTCATTGATTAAATTACACTATAAATTGCATATGAGTGACCCCGAACTAAAGAGCCACAATAGCAAACTAGCCTCACCGCAGCAAAACCACTAGGGGCCCCCCAGGAACAGCAGGGAAGGCCCCAACAACAGGGGTAGAGGCTCAGCAATGTGGCAGACGCGTGGTTCCGTCCTTCTATAGGCGAAATTTGCGCAATGCGGCTCCGCTGTATTCCTTAAACGCGGCCTGCTATCCTTTGCTGCCGCACCGGCAGCAGCGAACGGAACTGTCAAGGCTCGGGCCCACCACACTTCATGGCTATTGAGCAGCCACGTTGACAGCCACAAGAATACGAGAACCAGAGTAAGCGGCAGCTGCTGCTTAATACTCACCCGCAGCAACAGAAATAACAGCGGGACGCCAGCCGCACCAGCACCAACAACAACAGAAGCAAAAATCACAGCAGCATCAAAAGCAGTACAAGTGCCGAGAACGAAGTGGCAGAACATGCAAAATTTACCGGCTGCGGTGGCGGATGTAGCTCCTAAGGGCTACGGAACTGCTTTTGGTCCCCCAGGAGCGAATCAGCAAGAGACAGAGGAGCAGCAGCAGCACAGTATACAGTTCCCTGGGCAGCAGCAGCATATAAGCGTGCGTGAGCATCAACCAAGTTTGCAGCAACAGCCACAGGCAGCGCAGCAGCAGCAGCAGCATGAGCCCCAGCAAAGGCAGGTGGATCTGGAAGCGCATGTGCCCCTAAAGTCTGCAGCAGAGCCAAAACAGGCGAAGTCCCAGGAAACAGCGCTGTGCGGGCCGTTGCAAAGCAGCCCTGTGGGGAGAAGCGGAGCCATTGTGCAGCCCAAGGCTGAGAGGGGCCTGAGCAGTGCAAGCCCTGAAGCTTCAAGGGCCTCCACGTCGCCCCCAAGCAGCAGCAGCGACGGCGGCTCCGGTGCAGCTGACTGCACTCAGTGCAGAAACCGGCACTTCCACCCTCCCAAGGTGGTGGCGGCCCCTGCACAGAGCCAGGAAGAGCTGCTCCGCCTGCCTGAACAGCCGCAGCTTCGCTTGGACCTTCTGAAGCACCCCGAAGCCCTTCATTACCATTGCACGGTTCCCAGCGATAGCAGGAACGCTGGTGGCAAAGCGTTTTGGTGGACAGCAGCTGCCCAGCGGGAGCTTTTTCTGAATCCTTATGATTTGGCAGGGTTTCCGAGAGAGCCAAGGGGGCCCCCCGAGAAGAGGCGCCTGGCAGAAAGAGGAGCCGTCTCAGTCGATTTGGGAGCCCGAATTCACAAAGCTCCTCGTCTGCAAAGACATGACCAGCAGCAGCAGCAGCAAGGGGAGAGCCGCTCCGAAGAACAGCCGGGCACGAAGCACTGTGGCAACGGCAGCGGCACCTGCAACACGCCTGCGCACAGTAGCAGCCACAGCAGCAGTAGCACAACGTGCAGCCGCTGCAGCGGCTTGAAGTTGGCATTTGACCTGCCGAGGGAACTTCACGCTGCAGAAAATTCCCCGTATTCAGTTGCCACTAGCAAGGGGCCCCCGATAGGTGCCGCCTTGCGCCGCCGTCGACAGCAGCGGCAACAGCAGCAACAGCATTTCTCCGACGACAGCAGCGCCAGCAGCGGCAGCGACATAGCGGCGGGAGATTTGCTGCCTGATGTTTACCTGAAACTTGCAAAGCAGCCCAGGCCCCGCAGGGCTCTTGGAATGGAGGCAGACTGGCTTATGCGTCTGCAGGATCCCCCCCAAGGCATAGAAGCCCTCGACGTATTTGCCGCTGCAGCAGCCGCAGCAGCGGCTCCTGCTGCGCTGATGACACCACTAGCGAGCCCCTGTGCACTAGCAGCGCTCTTTAACACGACAGAGGCCTCATCAGACGCTCCAAATTGCGCCAGCAGCAACAGAAGCTTCAGCAACTTCAGCAGCACTAGTACCGCCAGCTGCGGGACCGTCAGCAGCACCGGAAGCAAGGGGGATCCAACTGAATTGGAAACAGCCCTTGATCCTCGCGCTCCCTACCGGCCACAGACGTACCTGGAGCGTATCGCCGCTTTTGCGCGTAGAAGAGCTCGCACAGCTCCAGCGCTGCGACTGTCGCTGCCTCAGCAGCAACAGCAACAGCAACAGCAACAGCATTGCCAGCAGAAGCAGCCGTTGCCGCTTCTGGCAGCTCTCATTTCCCGCAGCCTCTTGGGACAAGGAAGAGATGCAACAACGCCAGCTGCCGGAGGCACTTCTTCATCCCCCCATCATCATCATCCTCCCCGTCCGCGCAAGAAGGGCCTCAGGCCGCTGCAGGACGAGGCGCATCAGCTTGATTCTCGTCTGCTGCGGAAGTCTCTGCGCTGTTTCGGTCGCAGCAAGGGGGGACTTAGCAGAAGCAGCAGCAGCAGCAGCAGCAGCGGGAGGATCTTTGCAGATTTTGCTGCGGTTAAGACAAGACTCGTAGGCCTTGCTTTCGGGGATATTCCATTTGACCCTGACGGACTGTGGCTGAGGGCGCAGCAACAGCAACAACGGCAGCAGCGGCAGCAGCAACCGCAAATGATAGATGCGGACTCGCAGCAACTGCAGCAGCAGCAAAGGGGGGAACGAATGGATGCCCCGCAGACTTCGACGCTGCCCCTGATGCAGGCAGCCATGCGTCGAGTTCGCCTCTCGGCAAAGTACAGACATCCAAGTGTCCGCATCAGTAACAACTGCGGCAGCAGTGGGGGAAGCAGCATGGGGAGGCCGCAGGGAGTTTCTTTTTGGCAAAAGGCTTCCATTGATTTGGGCTGCGGCGTCGTCTTGGCAACGCATGCAGCATCCGCAGGTTCGTTTTATTTTGAAGTTTTGGTAGGTCCTGTGCCGTCGCAGCAGCAGCAGGAGCAGCTGCTGTTGCAATCCAAAGGCGGAATCTCGAAGCAGCAGCTGCTACAGCAGCAGCAGAGACAACTACAGGCGTCTTCCCAGTGCGACTTGCGGGTCGGCTGGAGCACTCGCAGGCACCCCCCTTCAGCCCCTCTAGGGGCCACAAGGGATTCTGTGGCTCTCACTCTACGGGGAAAGGCCGCTTGGGCTGGGGTAGAGCTGCCCTGTTGCTTCCCACCCTTGAAGGAGGGAGACGTGGTGGGCTGTTGCATTCGTTTGCTGCAGTCGGACCAAGATCAGCAACCGAAGCCGCAGCAGCCCCAAGCTGCAGCTGCAGGCTCTCGGCCAGCAGCAGCCCAAGCACCCAGTGCCGCTTCTGCTTCAGCAGCGACAAATGGAGAAGCAGCAGCAGCGCCGGCAGGAGACGCATACGCAGTATCTTGTTTAATGGATGTGGATAGGCTAGCCCAGGGCTTCCTCCGCAGCGCAGCGGGGCTTTCAGAGGGCAATAAGGGAGCTCAGGGCTTCCGGGAGGCTCCTGTTGGGTCTCACGTCCAATTCACGGTCAACGGAAGGCCCCTTGGCCTGTGCTGCTTTGAGGGAAGCAACAGTGGAGGATGCCTCCTCGCAGACGAGTACTTTCCGGCTGTTTCCCTCATGGGGTGTGCTAGCTGTTGTGTGAATTTCGGGCCTTCCTTCTGCTACGCGCCGCCTCCCTCTGATCCTCCCTACAGCCCATCCTGTCTGCTGCCCCTTCCTGTTGCACCACCGCTGACTTACGACGTCTACCCTTTGCTGCTGCTGCCGCAGCAGCTCCTAGCAGACCCGCAGCTCAACTTACTCCGGCCACGAACCCTGGCGGACTTCTTGGAGCAGCGCGTCCTCCATCCGCAGCAACAGCAGGAAGCAAAGTGCCAACAGCGCCATCAGCAGGACTGCCTCCTCCATGGTGTTCCTATTCAATGTGAAGCTCTTGACTATGCACGTAGCGAAACGCATGCAGCCGTCGAGAACAGCGTGGAGGCATCAGAGACCGAGGGCTCTCAAGGATTGTTGAACGAAAAGGAGCAGGAGCAGCAAAGGCGAGACCAACTGAGCAATGAACTCAAAGATTCTTCAAGGGGGCTAGGATTTTCGACACAGCAGGACAAAACTGCATCATCCAGCAACACTGCAAACAGCAGCAGGAGCTGCGGCTGCCGCTGCTCCACGGACAAAACAAGTAACAGCCAAGCGCGTGCTGACGACCGCGCAGTAGCGGCAATACTGCGTGCTGCGAGCTCTTTAGTTCTGAGCCCTGAGGAGCTGAGCCAGCTACAAAAGGGTCTGAGGAGGCAGCGGCAGCAGCAGCACCTGCTGCATTCTATTCACCAGTGCGCTTTTGAATCCCAGCTAAGAAGCTGTAGAGAAGTGTTGGACGCTGCAGCACAGCAGTGGGGAACCCGTCGTGCCTACAGACTGCGCAGGAAGATGCCTTGGGCCAGACACAGAAGCAATCTACGCAGCAGCAGCAGCAGCTGGTGCAGCGGCAGTGATAGTTCGAGCAGCAGTGACGAAAGTGTCCGCTCTGCCGACCCGTCGACAGCAGATGTTTCAACAAGGGACAAAGGGCCTTTACAACAAGGCCAGGCGCAAGAAACCCAGAGTAGCTCTCTTTTGGCCGCCCCTGCCTCTGAAGAGGCTGCAGTAGAAGGGAGTATCGTTTCAGAGGCAGCAGCACCACCACTGCCAAAGGACAGCAGCAGCAGCTGCAGCAGCCGCTGTGCTGGCGCACCGTATGTAGACTTCAGGCACCCTTGCAGCGTTTTATTTTCATTTCTTCTGCCCACACTACAAGGCCTATATCCCCCCTGCTCCCCCCGTTCGTTAGCTACCTCCAGGCCACAAACCGCAGCAGGAGAAATGAATGCTCGAGATTTGACAGCAGCAGGGGATGCAATACCGGCAACGGAGGCTGCTGCAGCATGGAAGCGTTTCGCACGGCTCTTTTGGATGGTTGTAGCTCCCCTCGACAGTCAGCGCCGGCCCCTCAACCCCGCAGTGTTCATCAACAACGAAGCAGTGGCTGCGCAGCGCAAGTCGAGACCCTGCGCAGCCGCTCGCGCTGCTGCTGCAGTAGGAGCCACTCATGCTGCCTCGGGAGGCTCTTTAGGAGGGGCTGCTTCCGGATCTGACTCTACTGCGAAGGGAACCGGAAGCGTTGGCACCAGTTCCCAGCCCACTGGCCGTTCCGGCCGACCAGGGGGAGCGCCAGCCCGACGGAAAGGGGGCAGTGTTGGAGGCTCTCAGTGCACAGCATCAACAGCTGCTGCAGTCTCGTATGAAACGGTGCAAGTGGGGCAGTTGCTGCTGCGTGTGCCGCAGGGATGTCTCGCGGACTCTGGTGATGAGGATGCGCAGTTGCCTCCAGAGGCCGCTCCTGAAGCTCTAAAGGGAAAAAGGACAGCAGCAGGAGGCGCAGCTAGTGTGGCCTTCTCTGAAGACGATGAGAGTGCCGTAGGGGCAGCTCTGATAGAGCCTCTTCCTCTACCGTTGGTGTTACAGCGGCGTCTTGGGCTGAAGCCACGGCAACTGATGGAGGCTCTGGGATGCCGTTTCCGCGTGTTGTCTAGGCAGCTCGCCGGCAGTCACGCAGCCATTGCAGGGGTCAGCTGTATATACACTGCAGTAGTGCGTCTCCGCCACTTGCAAGCCAAAGCTCAGGCAGCAGAGGAAGAGGCAGCGAAGGACGTAGCCTGTGAGTTCTGGATAGAGCAGCATGCTGGCGCCCTTTGCGGACTCTGACCCCAGGCACACTGTTTACTTCGTGCATTTTGAATGAACTCTATTTATTGAAGTTGCTCTTTTTTTTTTAAATGTCGGACCGCAGTAGCGCCGCTTTTCTTTCCACTAGTTTGATGCAAGAAGCCCTTCCCCGCAGGCTTTCCACCCGCCCGCATGCTCCTAAGTCTTCTCTTTTGGGGGGATTTGAGCAAGTAGTTGCTGTTTCCATGTTCTATTCCAAGTAGAACACATTGTGCATACAAGAAAGGGTTCACCACAGAAGCGCACCTGGGGGTCAGTAAAGCCTGCTTGTCGGCCGGAAGTGCGGGATTTCCGCGATACATTACCGGCCAGCAACTGGAACGGCATTTCGCCCCATATAGCTGGTCTTCGTTTTGCACTACCTCGACTCCTTTGTCTCGTGGATACGGAGTTGCTGTGGGCAAGCGCCCTACGGCGAGTTTCCACGCATGCATGTTCCTTACCGCTGTATTCGATTACGCGGCATCTGCGTAAATAGAACTACTTCAGCACTAAAAGTGGGTGAGATGCAGTGCTCAGACCTCTATGATTGGATCTACTGCCAGCGCTAAAATGGCGCCGTTTGTGTCTGACCTCTAGGTACAGAGATCAGTCGGCACTCAGTCAGTCACATCGTTGACAGCCTACTTTTGAGCTCTGTGTGGCCAGTCCTGGAACAAATTCTAACTTCTGGGTACAGGAACTGGTGCTGAATTGACAGTAACAAATTGGCTGCAAGCTTTGACCTTGCATTCCGGCCACGCCTGAGAGCAAATGCAAGGGCATGTGAAGAACCGTACACGCCAGGGAATCTACGTATACAGTCGTAGCTCATCTTGGGTTCATGTCTAGGATTTTCAGCGCTGCAACACGAGGCAGAACGCATGTTGTGCCTTCTGGCACGTGCTGCAGCGCTAAAAATCTTTTGCATGTCCAAGGCCCAAACTTCTACGCAGATGTGGAGTCCCCCATTTTTTCGCCGATATGCATAACTTTCTGATGCGCTTTTAACAAGCACGTACACTGCAGCGCGCGCCCTTGGCCAATACAACTATGCAGCAAACGGCGGCTGACTGCATGGTCAAGACCTTCGACGTTCTAGGAAAGGCATGAGGCAATTTAGCGAAAGTCTGCAAGTCTTCGGAGAAAAGTGGCACAATCAGTGTATTGCCTGAATTGTCTACGGTCTCCACAGGCAGTAGAGTGTGGATCAAAAGCTGCCTAGCATGCACGGGCTGGCAAAGGCGCCGAGGGGTGCAAGCCGTACCTGTAGAGAAGTGTCCGGCCCTTTCTTTAGAAAGCATGCGTATGCTTATTATAACTAAAAGATACTAAAGATGTCCTCATTCTGTGCAGTTAAATGCCACTGCCGCAACTACATGGGCCACAGGAGTACATGACTGCCCAGGTGCTCCCACCGTAGTTGAATTGACCTTTCGCTTCTCTTCATCGTTTGTCTTTTGTGTGATTGTTTCCATCTCTGGATGCCAACGAGCCTTCAGAGGAGTAACAGATCTCCTCAAAGTGGGCGCTTCTTGATGTTTTGGACGTGCTGCCCCTTTCTTTGTTGCCACCACTGCACTGGCCCTCCGGTTTTCGGCCTCGTTATCTCCGAAACTTTCAGCCGTGCTGCTGCTCCTCTGTAATTTCAGCGTCTGAGGCCTCTGTCGAAGTCGGGCTTGGAGAACTTTACGCCTACACAGCGCATGTGTCCCACGTCCAGTTGTGCATGCTTCCGCCCTACGTTTCTCTCCTCCATCTGAGAAACTAAAGTACAGCCGGAGGCTGTGGGCACTTGGGTATATCTTGGAGGTCAGAGTTGCTCTTGGTTGACTCTCCTTCATCAACGTACCGTGAAGAAGGCATTTGAGGCCTCGCAATTGATCTGTCGTACTGCTTGCACAGCTGCTGCCTATGGGGCTGTGGCGTGTTGTTTTAGTTTGTTGTCCATCTGAATTGCATGCTCACAGCGCCTCTCGCTGTGCTGGTGCTAACACTAGCTTCCTTTCTGCAGCCTGGAGGCCAGGGCTTCCGGCGAAGCCCCTCCCGTGTAGATAGGACAGATGGAGACCGAACAAGCAATAGATCACGACGCGCCGTGGAAAGGCGGGCTTTTGGGGGCTGCTGCAAAGACCGCGGACTGCGTAAAGCCACACGACAGAGCGATCCTAGCAGGCGGCACGAAGTGCGACGTTTCTAGTTCTCGAACCTGTGTCCCAGCGACAGTAGCGCCAATGGGAGCAGCAGGAGATGCTGCGGGGTCAGCAGAAGTAGCAACAGCAGCAGTACAGGGCAACAAGCAGCAGGAAGCACGGCCTGTAAAGCGGCTGCGATGTCAGACCGGGGGAGAACAAGACAAATCCCGCGGAGATGAACTGTCACACGCTGACGCCAGTGGCCCGGCGGAAAAGCTGCCCTCTTCTACTATCAGAGAAGCCCATTCCAACAGCGCATTCGTAGGGGCGCAGGAACAGCAGCAGGAAAACCATCAGCAGCAGCAGAACCAGCAGCAGCAGCAGCAAGACCAGCAGCAGCAGCAGGACCACCAGCAGCAGCAGCTGGCGACACAAGAAGCACACGAAGGCAACGACAGTTTGCCTTCAGAAAAGGCCGCAGCGGAGTCATTAGATGCCGCAGCATGCTCCTTATCAACGTTTTCCTCCGCCTCAACAAGTGGCTTAGCCTCACGGGCTGCCTGCCCAGGCCCTTCCGAAGGGCATACGGGAGGCTCTCACTTGGCCTCCTTGTTTGGGGCTACTGGCGAAAAAGGAATTCACGTTGAGTTTCTCTTTTCGGATCAGTCTTCATGGGAGAAAAGTCTACAGAGGCGTTCAGGGCCCTCAGGCCCGGAGGCCCTCGGGGGTTTCCTAGAGGCTTCGAATTTGCGGGGACCCCAAAGTGCACAGGACTTGAGAGGTCCTCCAGGGTCACCCCAGGGGGAACCTCAAAGAGTACAATACCAAGAAGCTCCCAGACAGGTCATCTTAGGCGTCTCCGATGCAGAGGAAACATCCGTAGCTGCGGGAGGCCCTCCTTTCCAAGGAGATGGGAATGCAGATGGCTTGAACGCCACTGAAGGAGCAGCGCTTCTTGTGAGACTAGACGGAGGAGCAGAAGCGTCGGCGGCAGGTGCTGCTGAAGCAGCAGCAACAGGAGCGGCAGGAGAAGACACAATTGCCTCTTCGTCAGAGACAGAAGTGCCTTTAGTACCTTGTGAACCTGCTAATGAAGAATGCGCGCCTTGCGTTCACACAAGGGCTGACGCGGATGCCAACACCAGGCAGTTTAGTGATGATGGAACTTCGGCAGCATCAGCAGCAGCTGCAGCAGCAACAGCAGGAGCAGCGCATGCGGCAGCCGGGGCAACACCCGGGAGCGCATGCGAAGAGGCGCAGTGCCTTCCAGCGTCTGTCTCGTCATCGGCTATTTCTCGAGTGCCTGCTGTTGCTGCTGCTGTATACACTGAAGGCGAGGGAAACGAAAGCAGTGGCAGAAGCAGCAGCGCAGCGGAAGATGCTACGAGTAGCGGAAAGGATTCATCTAGGTCGGGTTTAACTGGTGTAGAAAGCAGACCAGGTGACACAACGCGTAACAACACGGTGGCCAGCAGCAGCAGCAGCAGCGGAAACGGCGGCTCAGTGGTTGTGGCACAGGGGAGCTCAGAGACGGATGTGAACGAAGTAATAAACCTTAGTGACTCTGAAGCAACCGACTCAGGCAGAGAAGAAGCAGTTCCTGTTGTTGACGTAGAGTCCGAGGCTGCATGCATCGAGGGAGGGGAAGCCAGCAGCTCGGGGAGCAGCAGCGGCGCGGGAGGCCCAAGTTCTTCCTCCGTAAGGCCTCCCACGGGCCCACAGACATCTGCATCATCAGAAGCAGTAACGCCTGAAGTGGCAGTAGTGCTGGACTCAGATGATGATGATGTTGTCGAGCTAAGAAGTCGCCAAGCAGCTCCGTTCGCCATGTACCCGCCCCACAGCTACCTCATGCGGAGCCCCCTAGGGCTGAGGCCTTACGGTGCCAGTGGGCTGTCGCTGCTTCCTTTTCAGAGGCAAAGACTCAGGGGCCTGGGAGGGGACGACTATGACGAGGACGAAGATGCAAGAAACAACGCAGCGCTTCCTAGATGCCCAATATGCCTGAAGAAGTACAGACAGCAGCAGCAGCAGCAAGAAGGGTGCACTGATGCCAAAGAAGACAAACCAACGCAAGGGCCAGGTGATGGTCCTGACTGCCCTGCTACGGACTCTGGGCAGCGGTCAACATCGGGAGCCTCAGACGTTGCTCCAGGACAAAGAAACGAAAGCGATGAACAGCAGCAGCAACGTAACTTGTCGCGTCCCCCCCCTCCGCCTCCGCCGCCTCAAGCTGATCCAGACGGAGATCACGTGGTGGCGCTGCGGTGCGGGCACGTCTTCTGCAAGGCGTGCATATTGGTGGCGCTGCGCACAAGGCGGCAGTGTCCTATTTGTCGATTCGTTCTCAAAGGCAGCAGACCTTACCAACGGATTTTCCTTTAAAAAGCCTTGTTATGGGTTGAATGGACACAGATAGGGGTGAGCAGTGCTGTGCTACTGCACACTTTTTCTGGATTTGTTTTAGGAGGAAGTATGTAGTAACATTGTGGCGGCGGCCAATCGCAGTTTGCGACTTCTTTGGAACCCGTGTATTTGTACGCCTTTGCCACAGTCTATCCCGGCGTGAACCATTTGCAACAATGCGTAGAAACAGTGCCCGGACAGTTATGTACCGAAATACAGCACTATCGTGCCAATGGCGGTGCAAGTGTAACTTAGGAGTATGGACGTCATCTAGAGGAAAATGGAGCACTGCAGGTGAAGACGTTATCCCCTGAGTATGCAGCCTTTGCTTCTAAGGTTTTCCAGTAGGCTTGTCTCGAACCCAGCAGTAGAGTAGCAACTTCATTTTATGACTTAATGACCGATAGAAGCTCCCCATGTACTGCTAGTGCGTTGAGCTCTATCCAAGCGGACAAATGAGGGAGCGAAGGAACCAGTTGGGGAATCTGCTTCCCTCTACTGCAGCTAGAACGGCGTACTCTAGCGCAGGAGATAGTGACTTACCACATTGCTAACGTATAACAGGTCAACATTTCTTCGCAACTTTGAATCAACGGTGCGTAACGTGCGTGTGTTGAGGAGGGGATCGCTCACTGCTTGCTAACAGAGTCGAGTGTTCTCCCACAGGATGCGGGACAGTATTGTCAATTGTAAGACAATGAATACTTTCCATTATGATATTTGAACTCTTTAGGGTGGAATATTCGTCTTTGTGCCAAAATCTGCTGAGTTCTGTTAGCAGAGTGTTGTCCGTCGGTCCGAATCGTCTAGAGGTTAGGACAACACGTTGTGGCCGTGTAAACCCAGGTTCGATTCCTGGTTCGGACATGTTGCTCTCCTTTTCTTTCTCACGTTTGCGGCTTTTATGCACTTAAATTAAGCTTAAGAAGTTTACATATTAGATCGCATGGGCATCAAGCAATAAATCAACTGACAGCGCCTTTACCTGTCGCTCCCCACCGGGCGGGTCATTGCACTTGCAGTTTTCCCTGCAACCGTGGCGAGCTGCTTACTGCTGGGATAGGGCACTGCGCTATTTCTTGCATCAGGCTCTCGGCTATTGTGCCGGTTTTAAGCACCTAAATTAAGCTTCAGAAGTTTACATATTAGATCGCATGAGCATCAAGCAATAAATCAACTGGCAGCGCTTTTACCTGTCGCTCCCCACCGGGCGGGTCATTGCACTTGTAGTTTTCCCTGCAACCGTGGCGAGCTGCTTACTGCTGGGATAGGGCATTGCGCTATTTCTTGCATCAGGCCCACGGCTATTGTGCCGGCTTTTAAGCACCTAAATTCAGCTTCAGAAGTTTACATATTAGATCGCATGGGCATCAAGCAATAGATCAACTGACAGCGCCTTTACCTGTCGCTCCCCACCGGGCGGGTCATTGCACTCTGTAATTTTCCCTGCAACCGTGACGAGCTACTTACTGCTGGGATAGGGCATTGCGCTGTTTCGTGCATCAGGCCCACGGCTATTGTGCGATGTCCTGACGTTTGGAGGGACCGCAGGTTCCCAGTCCTCCTCGACTTCTTTTGGAAGGAAACGACCGCCATCAGCTTTATAAAGATCAGCCCTACCGCATGTAATCACTAGTCTTAGTGGCATGGGAACTCCCGTACAGTTGTGTAGGCTTGGAAGCTCTGACCACCTGACTTCGTTACGTAGCTGACCACTCATATTGGCTCAACTTATATTGTATCTTTGCTGCATACACGTTTCGTCACTCTTCGCCGCAGCGTTAAGCCACCAAAGCATGCAACACACCAGCTACCTACAAGCCGCAACATCCGGCTGTAGTTTGACTCTTTCAAAGGATCCGGCTTGCATGCCTTCCTCCGCTGCCTCTTTAAGGGCCTCAAACACAGTGACATCTGTAGTTGACGGTTTGTCACCAACTGCACAGCAATAATCGCAACTGAGAGCCCATTTGGGCATTTGTGCGCCCCTAAATAAGGTGAACTTCTCTGGCTCGTGTTCACTGGGGTCACCCCTCGACGTAACAAAGTTCACATGCGAACAGGTCGCAGCTAACAGCTCTTCTGTGTGGCGAAGCAAACCGCAGTCCAGAAGGGACTCCAAATTCCAACGCAAAGAGTCCTTATAGCGACTCAGGACTGCCCGTCGCCCCTGACGCGCCTCTGCTCATTCAAAAACATGCAGGCAACACAAAGTGGAGCCCATTAAAACAGCACCAACACAGCAGGCCTGCATCACTGTTCTGGAACTCAGTCAACTGCTGTATTTCGCTGCATTTTATCGTCTACAAAGGCCACTGTGCAGTCATGGACAAGCAAGTTGTGTAAACAAGCTCTTCCTGTGGATGCACTTACAGTGGACACTCAGCGAGATACTCTAACAGAGGTAAATTAAAAAGGAATACAAACAGAACCCAGTTCAGCCTCGCTCGTAACAGAAGAATTTTAGTCTGAGGCTTCTCACCGCTATTTAGAGATGAAGTAAGCCCGGATGTTTCTGCTGCCGCCGCAGTCAGGGCCTTCCACGCCTGCGTCAACAATGGCGCCATGCAACTTGCGCAGTGCAGCTGTTGTATTGGCGTCCCTTCAAAGCCATTTGGGCCAGACTCCACTGAAGCTTTCATGTTCTTCCCCGAACGACGCAGTGGTGTCCTCAGATGCTGCACCATTGCGGCCAGAGCGGCGGCAGCGTGGCTGCGGACCTTTGTTAGCTGTGAGGCATGCAAGCAGCCACATGCCCCCATCCACAAGGGCTTGAAAAACCTGCAGCAGCACGAAAGCATGCGCAGCAAACAAAAATCAAAAAGGCACGAAGGATGCCTGATCTTGTTGAAACAGAGCAGCAGAGTGCCACACATGGCTCCAAATAGTGCTCGTGATTATTGATTGACTGCACATCAATATTGACCAACAGCGAAGCGTCCGCATGTACCTATAATTCCCGTCGAATAAGCGAAAAAATAAATTGTTAAAAGCACCAAACACCCACACAGAGATATCGTTAAATATTTCTAGTGCAGCAAATTTTCCAGTATCAAGAACTGCTGCCAGAACTAGGCATCCATAAAATGCCACCACCTTCCCTTGGCTGTCCGGGTGCCTTCTTTGTCCTCACTTGCAGCATCCACTTATTAGGAGGTGAAAGGCAGCTGTCGATGAAAAGAGCAACCGGATACTATTGCATGCGTTCCAATGCAGTTTCAGCTGCTTCACATTAGCGCCAGAACCAGCAACCGTAGTTTCCTGCTGATGGGGTGCACAAGTTGCCTCCTCCTCGGCATAATCTCCAGTACTGCTCCTAAAGCGCTGAAGCTCCTCTATTTCTTGCCGGCCTCTCGTCTTAGGTGTGTCCCTGTCTTCTCTTCTGTCTGCTCCATGGTCCCATGCAGGTCTTAACACACCATCGAGCACAATCAGGGAGCGCATAACTTCCTGAAGAGGCCTCTGCGAAGCTACCTTTGAATCCCCCATGCACAAAGCCTCGCTTTCATTTTGTGACTCGGCAACGAGGTCAACGCGTGAACCACTTTGTGGTGTTGGGGGAATGCCCAGTTGACAGTTCTTTTCCGTGGCCACAAAGCAAGGCAACAGCACCAACGGGACAACGGCACCGATTGCCCTCAGTCCAACCGCAACAGCAATGGAATTACTGGTTTGCTGCAGCATTAGTACATCGTTGACACCCTTGAGGACTTGCCCCCACAAGTCAGTAGCCGGAGAACCAACGCAGATATTCTGCCCTTGGAAAGTAAACTGTTCCTGTGGGTGCTCCTGCTGCTTCCGCTGTTGTTGCTGCTGCCCATGTTGCTGCTCCGCCTGTTGTCTCATTGCTCCTGCAGCTTCACAAATCGCGCAGAGAGAGGCAGCGCGCATGTCATGAAGAGCATCTGTCAGCTGCAGCAGCAGGATTTGGATAGCCTCTCGCAGGAGTCCCTCTGTGTCAAGTTCGTGCTCTTCCAGCGCTGTATCCCCTGGTGCACCAGTTGCTGCACTTGTTGCTCTTTCACTTCTCGGCAGTGAAGATGATTGTTGCTGCTGCGCTAAGGTCAGCGTATGCGCTGAGAAAGCTCCCAATGCTGCTGCAGCGGCCACCCGCACACTTCGGTGGTAAGAAGGAAGCACAGCGCTCCTGAGAGCCCTCAGAATGTGGCGATTTATCAGGCGGTGGCGCTGCCACTCCTCGAATGTAAGCCGACAGAGGAGTATACATGCACTGCTTAGCTGATCTGGATGGTACTCCTGTTCCTTCTGCTGCTGCTGTTCTTGATCATGTCGCTCCTGATGCTGCTTCACAGGGAGCGCTGCTGGAGAAGCAGTGGGAGCCGCTGTCATCAGAGGACTTACAAGTTCTGACTGCAGCAAAGAAACAAGTGTTGCGCGGCTGTGTTTCAGGAAGTCTTCACGTGAAAGAGGCTCTGACAAGTTTGAAGAGGTACCTGAAGAGACAAATTCGTGAGGGCTCGCGGGTCTTCCGTTTGCGCCTTCGTTATGCTCTGCAGCTGCTGGGGCTCCATAGCCACCCAAGACCTCCAGAGCTATCTGGATCCCTTTGCAGCGACCAGCTACATAAGCGGAACTAAACAATGTGCGCAACAGCGAGGTGAAGGAGCCCTCCTTTTCGCTCTGGAGGCAGCCAACATGCTGGTCCTGACAGCGTTTCACCTCAGCGTCTGTTGCAGTGCTGCTCGCGCGCGCTGCTTGTGGCAGCAGCAGCACTTGTGGGTATCGCCTAGCAATGGCCTGCAGCACAGAGAAAAGCCCCTCAAGGACGGCTAGGCCGCTCCGTTCGCAGTTGCTGCAAATCCCGCTGTCTACTGCACCCCTTGGCTGCCCTCTTGAGTGTGTCGTTGCTGCAGGGGAAGCATTTTCCCTTGACTGAAGCCCTTTCTTCTGAATACAGCCTCCTTTAGAGCCCTGGTACTCTGCGCTACAGCCCAGATGGGCCATAGTGCAATCTTCATGAGCAGGTGGCGTTTGAATGCACAAGCAGTTCTGCCACATTAACACTAAGGTCTGGATGGACTTGCATATCAAAGATGGCAGGCTGCACGGACCCGTAATAGCACCCCCTCTTCTCAGAGGGACCAAAAGCGCCTCCGCTATTTGAGAAAGCCTTTGCTTTTTCCCTACCACAGCAGCAACCATGGAAAGGGTCGGCCCTACTAATCGCAGGGCTGGGGTGCCTCTTGCTAACACTTGGGCAACGAAAAACTCGTAGCCTTCCAAAGACACAACATCCCGCTGGGGCTGCATATTCTTCTCTTGTTCATAAATTAAGACTGCGGACCTTTCGCAGTTCCGATTTTTTGCTGCCTGCGACGATGAAGCTGTGTCAGCAGAAGAAGCTGCTGCTGATGCAGTTCCTACATTCGTACAGGTAGGAGCCGCTTTGCTGCGCTTTATCATATTGGCAGCCGATGTGCTAAGGTTAGGCTGCTCATGGGCAGTAACCTCAGTAACCTTCACGGTAGTGCAAAAATAGCAGGGGAGCTCCTGCTGTTGCTGCTGCGGTTGAGAGTGCTGTTCGATTAGCAGCTGCTGTCGCTTAAGCTGCACACAAAGTGCCTCTGCCAGTAGAAACACCACGGGATGGGCGAGACGAAGGGCAGCAGCCGCGATTCCTGGCTGCAAGATGCCCACAGGCAGAGCAGGGAGCGCCTCTGCTAGGCCTCTGAGGGCTGCCCCTGCATGGCTGTTCAAGCTTTCCTTCTCATTCGGCGGTCCTGCGCATGCAAGCGTGCTGTGCTGGTGGATGGGACCACACTGTAGCAGAGCAGGCTCTGACGCAGCATCAGCACACGCATTTCTGGTCACCTCAGCAGCATTCGGAGCACCGGTCCGACGGGAAAGTATAGCAGCATTGGCTGAGAAGTCAGCAGAAGGCTTCGCTGTTCCCGTGTCAGCTTGGGGCGTCTCTTCTGCAAATCCGTAGCACACCAGGGATAAGAGGGAGAAAACGGCGCAGCGCGAAACCTGTGCAACTGTGCAGGAGAGCGAGGTATACGACCCAGGACCTGCGGAGTGCTGCTGTCGTGTTGGCAGGGCTGGGCACCCCAAACTATGGGGAATTCCTTCAAGTCCCCCGGACCTGCCTCTGTAAGACTCCGAGACCCCAAAGCCTAGGGGTCTCATAAGCTTTTCCCAGTCCTCAGCCTTCATTAGCACGGCCTTCGGACCGCAGCGCATGCAGGTGGACGCTATGACTGGCCACTGCCTAAGTGGCGAGGCCTCCAGCAACGCACACAAACAGCCCACTGCAGCTTTAGAGACCTGAAGGACACAACAACAAACCAAGGTACAAGCTCTTCGTTTGAGTCTTGGCCACAACCTGCGTAACTTGGCTTGCGTTAAGCCGCTTCTTTGTATGTTGGTTATACGCGCGACCATGTGCTGGGGTGCACGCGCAGTTGTGTGCAAGTGTTCGAAAAGACAGATACAGTGAGAGGGCTACATAGAAGACAGTGCGCCGAATCGAGCGGACTTTGGGACCTTCTTCGGCTGTGGCAAAGCAAGCCCACGGTAGCTCGTGTTGAACTGGATGCCGCATTCCCAGAAGCTTGCTAAGCCATTTATCCACCGTTTCTTCCCTCATCTGTTTGGCACGCAGGGAACACGTAACTGGGGATGGCCTCTGCTCGTCTGTTGCCGCTGGAGAGTGAAAGTCTGGCAGAACAACTGAGGCTGCAGCATTGCAGTTTGGGGTGGCCCGTGGTAGCGGGCTAGGCCCCTTGCACTGCAGCAGCAAACCCCAGTAAGCGAAGAGTTCCCTCCCGCACAGGCGTAGCAGCCCCTCTATACACCGCAGGCACTCGAGACGCAAGGCGTGGCCTCGAGACGCCGACTCCAATTGACACGCTGTGGTGTCGCCATGAGAGCGCGTTGCCGGAAGACCTGGAGTGCCCCTTGAAGAACTAGAAACGGAGGACTCCTGGAGACCCCTTCTCCAGGGTCGGCCCACACAGGTCCACTGGTCCGCCGTAGGGGAGCGGGCCGTTTTGCTGCTGTCTATTTCACTCTCTTGAGTTGACGCGAAGTCAGTCGCCAGGCCACAAGAGGGTCCCCAACCTGTTACTGCTGCTGCGTTGCGGAGCTGCAGTGGCTGCTGGAGCGCAGCAGCAGACGGCTCAGCCAGTGCCAGAGGCAGCAACAACAGAAGCAGCTCGATGCTCAGTTCACCTACAGCGCCCGGAGGAGCTGCAGCAGGGAAAGCGACGCCTTTATCATTCTCTGCGCCAGCTAGGCCTGCCTTAGTAGCAGCATCAGGGGTGTTCTTTGTCCTTGCTAGCTCGGCCAATAGAGAATGTATCGAGAGCAGAAGTGCTTTTGCGACTGCTATATGCTTCGGCTGGGACGCCGCCAGGCCCGAAGCTAAAATGTGCTGTTGCTGCTGTCGCTGGAGCTGCTGCTGCTGCAGATAACGCTGCAACCCACGATCTGTTCGCGGGCGGGGTTCTGAACCCAACACTCGATGAAGCACTACGACAGCAGCAGCAGCTACAGCAAGGGCCTCCTTTAGCGCTGCCGAGCCGGCGGACCCCAGCTGCGGCGCAGCGCGAAGTAAGGCGCACACACAGCATATGGTGTGCCGCTGCACGATGAGCTCCGCAGCGTTTGCTGTTATGCTGCTGCGACAATAATCCGAAAGGATGAATAAGGCTGCTTGGGCTGCCTCTACTGCAATTCCTGCTGGCTCTAGGAGAGCCTTCTGTTGGTGATGGGTTCCGGCAGTCGGGCTAGCGTAGACTGCAAAGTCCTTGAGAAATGAAACGACTGCAGCAGTGGCACCACGGGCATCTCCATTCTCCGCACACGCGGAAGCACGGTCAGCCAAAGTGGCTAAGGAGGCTGGCAGTCGGTGCTGCTGATATTGCTGCTCCCTTCGTCGTTGATGGGGGTCTTGGTCGTCACCACAGAACCTCTGGAGGGCTCCCAGGAGTCGTCTGCACAGTTGTGCCTGGTGTTTCTGCTGCTGTGCTGTGTACGTCCAGCCCCTGAGTGCATCTGCACTGGGGTTGTCAACTTGTCGTCGATTCTGTCTGTTGTGCTGTATCTCATCATGAGTCAGTCGTGTGCTTGGAGGGCAATACGTATCACGATGGGCGCCACTGGGGGCCCCCATCTGAGCCATCCTGGGATTGTTGATGCCTTGCGGGCGCCCCTCATGTCTGTTCAGAGCATACAGATTTCCAAAAGTAGCATAGGAAGTCCTCGGCTGCTATATAGCTGCCTGCAGACTTCAAAGGTCTGCGAAGACCTCAGCTGCCCAGGAAAGAGACACATGGGAGACAGCAATCGAGTCTGTGTATCCAGCGTCCAACAGTACTGTGAATTCAGCCTTTAAAACAAAAATATAAGGGGGACGGAAATTTTTGTTTTTGGTGGTCTCTCTATGGAGGCAAAAAAGGATGGTGTTCCGCAGTAGAATGTAGCGAGGCTTGAGCTGGGGCTGAGTACGACTGCCTGCACAAGCATGAAATGCGAGCTGGAAGAGATGTCGTTCAACTTAGCCCATGACGTCAGAGTCTTCTTGGCTAACGACTTCGTCTGCTATGTACGCTTTCTGTTGCTTCTGCCTCGCCAGTAGTGCCTGCACCAAAGCAGGCGCTGCAGTGCCCTGTGTATCTGATCGTAGATAACTGCAATAACGTAATCTCTTGCTGTCTAGCCGCTGACTGTACCTGATAGACATGTACACTGTGAGTCAGTCGTTAAGATACTCTCAGGACGGATGATAGCTGTTCCTGGGCACTCTACAGTTTGCCTTCGTGATATCACTTTCACCACTCCAAAACAGGTAACTCGAGTCCGAGCGCAGCAATTGCCCTCTACATTTCAGGGCTGGAGATCCGAAATTAGGATTTTCGGTCTCACTGAGGTCGGCAAGAAGAGTCATATAGGCTTGCTGCAAACTTCCTGCAAACATAGTGAGGCTGCACATCATAGTGCGAAAGCGAATTTGAGCGTTCTGCTTCATGTCTTCATGTCCGGCATTTTCTGGGTGTTTCTGCTTAATAATGAAACTGAATTTTCTCTTGTTCACCTCCAGACTGCGAATTCCGTGGCACTGAGACGCATTTGCTTCAGGGGGAAGCACCTCAAGTTCTTAATTAGTGATCCTTCTTTGTTTCATAGACGCATCTACCTTACTTTGAAGAGTCCCAATTGGCATTTCCAGTGCATCTGTACGGCAAGTGCCACGAGCCAGCACCGTATGGCCAGCTCCGCGTGCTAGCCAGAGATCAGCGGTACTTGCTAGTAATAAACGAAAACTGGCGGGCAGTAGTTTTTTCTCGTATTCAATCACAACTGCGAAGCGAGGAATGCCTCGCCAGCAGGGTTTGGAAGCAGCAGTGCGGGGAGGCAAACTGGTCACATAAGCCTTAAGGATGCTTCGTGAAGAAAGTCCTCGTGATTCTGAATGGTGCTCTCTAATAAACCACGGTGCATCGCAGGAGGCATTAGAGGAACCACGGACGCATAAGGCCTTGTATCCCTAGCAGAGGAATGGTTCTTTCGAAGCAAAACTCAAAGAATGCTAGCCTTCTTGTGCGGACTGTTAGGCTAGCATGGTCATGAGTATTTCAACAGTTACGCTAGCTGCAAGTGCATAAACGTGCACAGCTGACGAGGCGAACGGATGCGTAGCCGCCTGCAGAGGTCCCTGTATTCCGTCTTTACTCAAAATTGGCGCAGTAAGGAGCAGCCGTGCTCTTGCATGTTGCCTTGCTAAAGTTCACTTTGATCTATATTAGAAGACTGAGATAAGTTTGTTTGAGGGACGAGGAAAACGCCCACACGTACGCACGACATCCAGAAAGACCCTCCCATCCTGGTTCGCATCTGTTCATCTGAATCGCCGTTTAGTTGATGAAATCTTGTAGTAAGCCATCTTTAAATGAACAAGCAGGAGAAGACGTCTAATCCTGACTACACTAACTCTGGCACTATTGACCAACAGGCGTCTGCTTCCACCCTAGAGGTGTCCAAGGACTAGGCAGAACAGTGCCATCTACAGAAGGCTCAGGCCGTCGGCTCCGGCAAACTTCTGCTATACTACGCCGATAGGACGACCTAAGAAGCAAAAAGACGACGTCGCATGACAGCTTCTGCGCTGCTCCTAGGTGAGGATGATACACTTACACAGAGAGTCTTCCGACGAAAAAAAACATATTGGTGATTCTAGTTCTCTGCCCTTACGTGCAGAGTCAGCCTGACATACGGAAGAACAAACTAGGCCATCACGAAATTCAGAAAAAGAGGGGCACGGGGCAGTAGCCAATACCAGCCGCCGTTGGGTTAGGTATCGTATATTCTCCTTTGAGACGCTCTTCCTTGACACCGTATGGCCACGCTCGGCTTATTCGAGGTTTTGTTTCATGCGGCACTGCAGCAACTCACCCACCCACAGTCAAAATCCCACACTCTCAGCCTACACTATGTACGCTATGCTTCACGTTAACCAAAGTCACGCGGTTGGCTTTCCGTTCAGATAGAATCCGTATATCCTGCCTGCCCGCTCTACCATTTAGTAGCTCTCAGTTATGAGCTATAATCCCTCACTGTTCCATCCCGGAGGCGGCTGCTCCATAACATGCCTCGTGTAGCGCACAGTCTTCCCTTCTGCCAGCTTAATCGGCCGCGGCCTATAACGACCTGAGAGCAATACAGTCCTTCCAGCGCCAGGAAAGGCATCCTCTCAAACCTTGCTTTCCCTCCCTCTAATATCTCTTACCAAGTCAAATTAGAGTTCCGAGGACTCCCCATCATGAGAAGACAAGTAAACGCTTGTAACATTGACAGCAGCCAATACGTTACAACTTCGTGCGCCTATGCACGCTGTTGTGTTGACACCCAAAGTTACGTCAGTGCGGACCAACCAACTCTTAAAAATTAGAAAAACTAGATACTTCCACACTTCTTCAAGCATCAAAAAGCTTAATTTTTACACAAAAGCAGAACCCACCCTTCCACAAACGCTGTCGGATCAGAAATTTGCAGCGGTCCCCGTCAACAGCAACTGGGCTAATGGCCTGTAAACAACGCTTGGTAGCACGAGCAAACAAGAAGTTGGCTCTTTGCTCTGTGAGGCTCTGGGCACTTCCAGGAAAGAGAACTCCAGGAGTAAACAAGAACCACTATAAAACGCGGTATGGCTTTAGAAGAGGGGCAAGGGGAAGTTGAGGTGATGGGGCTGGCAGTGTCGCACTCGTTGTCTGTCCCTGGAGTCTGGGATGGCGAAATGGACGCACTTAATGCCTGCGGAGTCGCCCAGTAGACAAATACAGAGACAAATATGCAGCATCGCGAGGCATCCCGAGTTCGTCAGTAGCCTTTGAGGGGAAAGAACAGAGCACTGGCAGCGCTTAAAACTTATACGTCTCAAGGACAGCCTCCGTTTTCGGCCCAAATCAATGTAAATGCAAGAAAATGGGCATAGAACAAGGCGGAGAGACAGGTGAAGAAAAAAAGGAGCAGAGGCTCCGTAAAGCCCCTATCAGCTTACAAAGCACGCTGCATGTTAGTCTGTACAGGTCATAGTCGGTCCTGTAGAGGTACTTCATGACCCTCTGTCGTCGCGCTAGCCAGATAGAAAGAATCCTCTTCTTAGAGTGATCCCGGCGATGCTTAAGGAGGTGCTGTCGGGCGTTTAGGATTTTCTCCGTAAGACAGGCAACTGCAGCCGCCAAACCCAGCACTCAACCAGTAAGTTTACCTGCCAGTTTCCGATGCTGAACATATGGGCTGCAGAAGTCACAAACTCTGGAAACGCTTGGGGCATTACTAAATGCAACTAGGGATAAGTGCAAGTACACTTAAACGCACTTTGAACAGCGCTGCTGCCAGTGTCGAAAGGGCGGCGCTGCAGCTGTCTGCAAAGTTGCAGCTTTCTCCACTGATGTATTTGTTTGTTGGAGGCACAGCGAAGGGAAAGGCAGTCCCGGATGGCAGGGTTTAGTTTCTCTAGGTCTTCCTCTCTCCAGCGTTCAATGTACCCTTCCGGAATCTAAAGGGACAAAGCATGAGAACATGAAACCCTCGAAATCCCCAAAGCTCCCGTCTTGGACTAAAGAAACGGCTCGATGAGGCGCCACGAAAGCTAGCTAAAGGGGTGTCGGCGAAAGGAAGAAAAGCGTGTGCGCAGGTGAGACAACATGTGATTGGGCCAGCTAACACGATGGAGGGAAAATGACACTGTGTTAGGTCGTGAGCTTGCCTCTTCTCTTTCGCTCAGAAACTCCTTTTCTGCCTGAATGTACCACTCGGATTTGGGTGAGCGGATCTTCAAGGGAACGACTCCCGCAAAACGGTGCACCTTTACACGCGCGACAAATCGGCGTTGTACTATACTATGCCCCCCACTGAGCAACTGCGGCAAAGGCATCCCACTATTATCTTTGACGGAAAACACGGGTTCTTTAGATGCGATGCATAATCCACCAAACGGTACAGGGACCCCTCTAAAAAGGGTGGGGGGCCCCAAAACAGTTGCAGCTGACACTCTACGGAGGGGAAGAACTCCTTCAACGGGGACAGGGGCCCTGGATAAAATCAAATTTGTCGAAATCCAGGCTCTTGTCACATCTTTTGCATTTGCGGAATGGGGGCTCGCCCCTCGGGTGTGAAAGTTCCTCTGTCCGTTTTGCCCGGGGTTGTTGCACAAGGATAGCTGCTGAGCTACGAGATGAGCAAGAGTGGAGTACCGAGAGGTGTTCAGCTTCAATGCCACCCCTCCCACGACACGCAAAGTCATGGTTGTGCTAGCCAGTTGCTGCCCCGTAAGACGCAGTCTTGTAGGCCTTCCACGAGCCCTCAAGCACCAGTATACTTAAAAATTGTAAGTTCCACCGGATGAATACTATTCAGCTTCCGGTTTGCAGAAGTGGCACGGGTTGAAGCCCAGCACAAAATGGGACAAAGGGGACTGCAACGGGATCTCAAGCCTCCGAGCCAGTCGCAGCTTATCATCATATTAATGCAGTCTCCTACCACTGTGGGCTGCAGTACGCAAACACTTGCTAACACTTTCAGACATTTTTCAATGCCCATAAAACCAGGAGGATCACACAGACTCTCCACACGGGTGCTCTGCCGCCTGGCTAAGTTTTAAATCCCACCCTTCATACAAAACTACAGAGTGAAAGAAACTGCATGGAGTAGAAAGAGCAGCTGAAGGCAAGCGTCTGGACATTGACACAGGGACCCGAAGAGCCCCAAGTCCCTTTTGGGGGCCCTCTCTCGGGCACGCAGCCCCGCAAGGAGAAGGATAGGAAAATGCCTAAATATGGCGTATAATCATATTGCATTTGTTAGATCAGTATGCATTTGACATTACTTCTTCATTTGTACCTAGAACGCCAGATCTTTTGCGGCGAAACACAGATCAGTGACCCTCAAGATACGTGTGTACAAACAAGGCCTGCTTTTGGTTCTTCTAAAGTAGTCCTTGGAATTTCATAATCTATTCTCATTGTGCAAAGTCAAGGAGCTATTGCACTCTGATCTACTTCTCTATTGCTGGGGCTTCAGCGGCAGGGAATTACACCGGCCTGCCGTTTCTCTGCCTTGGCTAAGTCGACTTCTCGCTTTGGTCCATTATAAAATGGCGGAATCTCCGGTATCTTCAGAGGACAAATATGGCTCTCTCATGGCCGACCGGGCACTGCTGACTTCCTTGATGGAGGCGGCAGCTAGTGGCAACAAGGACTCGCTACTATCGGTCGTGCGCAAAGTAGAAGAGCGATATGGAACCCAGGCCTCTTCAAACACTGAAGGCGGAGCTGCTGCAGTAGGGGATAGTCTGTCTCCTGGCGTCTTGTTGGGCTTTAGAGATGCTCATGGCCGCACAGTTGCGCACTTTGCTGCCCTTGGTGGGGCCCCCGACGTTTTGGAACTGGTTATCAAACTCTGCCCCTCAGCAGTTAATGTCAAAGATAACAGTGGGAAGACTCCCCTTTTTACTGCTGCGTCTTTGGGACACGTAAAGTCCTTGGAACTGCTCCTAAATAGAGGAGCTGACGTAGGCGCAAGCAGCGAGGGCGGTAGCACTGCCCTCCATGAGGCCGTCTACGCTGAAAAGGCTGCTGCGGTAAAGCTTCTGCTTGAACACGGTTCCAACGTAAGCTGCCTGTACCTTTTAGTTTTTTCACTTCTATTTTCTCCAAGTTTTCTCCACCTGCCTGTCTCTGTGGTGTGCATTCGGTGTCGCATTTGGTAACCCTGTGAGGTGCATGGTCTTTTCGGTGCTTGTTCAGCGTAAGTTCGACTCTCCTGTGTGCGTAGGGTATTTGAGGAACTCTCGTCTTTGTGCGTCTTACCGCTTTTATTTCTGTCCTTGAGTGTGTCTGTGCGCTACCGCACGTCTGCTCGCGTCAGTATTCGTATGTTTGAGTCAGAAAATGCGTACTTAGTGGTCTTTGCTTCTCTTTTGCGGGTCTGGCTGCGATAAAATGCCTTGTCTTGCTGGCATCTGATGTTCCCATAGGTTTTCGGTCATTGCTACACCCACAGGCAACTGCCTGTCACCTACTGCTTGTCACATGTGGGTGGCTCGTTATGCTTCTCAGCCGAATACGGCCTCTGATATGGGTACCCCGATCCAGATCGCGGCGGTAACACAGCAAAAGGAGATATTGGAACTGTTGTTGTCGCACGGAGCGGACCCCAATGGCATCCCTACTGCTGATGCCTCTTCTGCCCCTTCCAGCCCTTTTCCGCCGGCATTGATCCTGGCTGCATCCAAAAACGAGTGCGCCATCTTAAAGCTGCTGCTGGAGAAAGGCGCAGACCCAAATGCTGCGGATGCTGAGGGCTTTACGGCTCTCCACTGTACGGCCGAGACAAACTGTGCATCGTGCACGCAGTGCCTTCTGAGCTCAGGGGCAAACTGGGGGATGCTTGCGAATGTACGTGAAGGTGACTGTAAAGCGAATTGTGAACCAGCATGGGCACACGACACGTCACATTTGAATTGTAACTGCCGCAGAAAGGAGAGAATGGAGTGTTTGCAAGGACAGGATGCATGCTCGCTTAGTGAAGGCACACGCAGCTCTGATGAGGTGAAATCGCAGCACTGCTCCATCTGCAACATACCTCTCAATTTGTTTTGTCTCGAAGAGGGCCTTCCCCTTGTTTGTCATGTGCTCAATTGGAATTGATAGGACGGTTCAGCGCCTCTCGATCTGGCACGCCAACACAAATCTGAGGCGGTATTGAGACTGCTGGAGCCACTTGGCGAAAGTCTCCGCAAGCAGCGACCAAATCCTTCACCAGCCCCGAAGGTAAGAACGCGCATTGAGCGCAAACGTTTTTACTTGGTGTAATTTACCTTCCTTTTCAGCAACCATTGACACAAGTTTCTCTATCGCGTAGTGCATGCACGTGTCTTCTCGTAGCCCCTGGCGCGATGCTGGCCGCCAAGTGCGCCATGAGCCCAAGGCTACGGGCTTGCTCTTGAAAGACTGCAGATCGTAGCCAGAATTTCGCGACGGCAGGAGTCACAGATGACTATACGCCGTGTAGCCAACAAAACATTGCTGGGTGTTAAGGGGACAATGAAAAAAAAAAGAGAGAGGCACAGCCCATTTAGTCGGGAGGTGGACGCAAAAGCAGGCGGAGGGCTTTTATTTAACAACTGTGGATTGTTCCTCAGGAAAGTTCAACTGCTGCGGAGACAGGAGAAACCACCACGAGCAATGATCCGGCTGGCAAGGTTTCTTTCGTCCCAATTACGTTGGATCCGGCTGGCCAGGCATTGCCAGGGATGGTTTCGAATGTAGAGAAGTTGAAAGACGAGGGGAACGCGGCTTTTCGAATAAGTGATTTTATGACGGCGAGGGCGAAGTACACACAGGTGCCTAGTGATGTGCTTGTGTCTGTTTCATCGTCTTTGTGCTCCTCAGAAGTGATCCAAAAACAGTCAGTACCACGGGCTAAAGTGTTCGTAGAGGGCTTGGTGTGGGCTATGGCTGGCGGAAAATTGCTGCAGATGGACGCGTGCGCATGTCTCTAGGCAATCGAGGATTGCCCAAAGGTGGAGATCCTGCGGGACCTGCTGGGAATCCTTTATTCTAATCGGAGCTTTACCAACGAGCAACTAGCAGATGCGGAAGCGGCCTTAGCGGATGCGCAATGGGTAAGACGAAGCATTTTCAACAAGCTCACTGAGGAGAAACTGAGAGCTGATGGGGACTAAAACCAGCTATATGCAGCGACGTCTGTCCTCTGCGGCATTGTTCGGCGACTGCCACCAAAAAGCATGCACACCAACATTGGCGCATGGCTATGTTTCTGTTGCCTTGTCCGCTGATGCAAGTACAGCACGGTGATCAAAAGATCGCCTGGAGGGTTTTTGTGAAGTGCTTGTATCCACCTTCCTCCTTCGGTCATTCGCTTACTGCCTGCAGCTGATGCGAATCATGCGGGTGCAGGCTACACAGTTGCGCCCCGAATGGAGCAAAGCGCATTATCGGCTCGCACGTGCCCACCGGCTGTCTGGTGGCACTGAAGATTACATATCTGAGCTTTGGGAGGCCCTTCGATTAGACCCCACTAGTTCTCAGATACAGTAAGAGCGTTGCAATCCTACTCTTACGAGAAATGGCAAAATGTCCTGGGCAGTAAATGCGGCACATGAAGTATCGTACCGGCTGTTGGAACCCCATTAGGCGAAGTGCTGTTGCTAGATGAGATGCCTTAGAATACTCAAGGTCTATGACGGCCCATCTGGCGCAGAGATGCACTGGGTTGTTCTTAAGTGCAAGGCTTTCGAGAGCTAGATATGTCTATTGCCTGCTTCCGTTCCAGGGAGGAGATGAACGCTGCCGTCCAGGCCGCCCGACAGACCAATGCGAAGGGCAAATCCAACGTGTCTGCCTGATTCACCATGCTCCCTTCGGCGTCACATTTAAGGGCTGCGTAAGTGATGTTGACATCGCGCCGGAATGGTGAGAATGGCTGCGAACAATCTCGATGCTACAGAGACTCGAGAAAAGTGTGGTTAGCGTCGAAAAGTATCTTCAGGCAGAAGCCATGAGGGTGTACAGTGCACCCTACATAGCCTAGTTCACATTGGTACCGTAGAGTCGAGGGTTCAGCGTTTAAATGGCTCCCTCCACTGCCAACGCGCAGCCAGGCGCCTCGCCAAGTGCTCGTGCGTGGCCATCGTGCAGCCCTCGCCCGGTAGAGGGTTGAAGAACCCCCGAGGCTTAACTCGGGGTGTGAGCACCAGCAAGCAACCAACACCTGGGACAACCTGGACGCGCTCTCGCTATGGCTCATGGGTCAGAGAGCCCCCCGTTCGTGACCCTCGAACTGCGGGAAGGGCGGTCCCTGGAAATCCCAGCTTGCGCCATTTTTTTCGATCAGCTCGAAAATGAAAATCCTGTCTCGTCCATACGCGAGGGCTGTGGCATCTGCTGCTGCCACAGAACGGCAAGAGGCCGTCTCATCTCACTGCGGGACTGGAGACAGTTTTCTGCCCCTCTCACTCTTGATAGTCTACAAGCTAAGCTATTTCTACCGAAACAGACCCAGCCAACTTCATGCTACATGACGTACGGGTGCCACTGACAAGCATTATCCGGCACTCCCTGTTGTTAAGATGAGGCATCGCCTCCCCCATCCCCCTGAGTTCTCTGGTGCTCCCCGTTATCAGGCGCTGGCTCCGTTGGGGCTTCGCCCACATGCCTCTCTGGGGAAGCAGACGGTCTAGCTGCGTCCACGGGTTGCTCCGCAGCGGTAGCACTTGTGATTGCTCGAGAGGCTTCGGACTCAGGTGCTTCGACCGTCTTCCAAGACTCTGTGGCGCATTGCTGAACCCGGCGGTTGTATTCACGCCGATTTTCCGCGTACAAGCGGGCGGCCTCCTGGTTAGCGGGGCTACTAGGGTTCGGGTCGCTTAGTAGCGACTGCATGAGCACAGCACCAAAAACGACTGAACGAGGTGGCAGAGGACAGCGAGCACCGCCGAATCTTAAGAACGTAGACTTTTGTGCACAAATCTTCAATAATTCGAGCAAACATAGCAGCTGATCGCTCCTGCATATGGACTTTGTCGTTCAACAGGCTGCAACTGTTTACATCATACCTGAATCGATGTAAGTATCGCTGATATGTCATATATGGGACTCCACTGCGCCTGCAAAATGTCCAGGCAGATATTTCCGTCAGTGTAGACTGCGCAAAAAACAAGCAAGGGCCGTGTGCTACTGAACCCCGCGGGCACGCCCAAATTTTTCAGTAAACCAAGTTGGGAGAGTCGTCTCAGTAAAGAGCTCGTGCACTTCGTAGCTCGGAAGCACATTTTCTATGAAAAGCATTCTACAACCCTACAAACAAAGGAACGGGACTCACCGTTGGGGTGAAACAGCCGAGAGAGGAAGCGGACATGTGGAGGTTTGTTGGGGTATTCATTCGTGAATTTGAGCTCAAGTTGGAACGTTCCTAAAAATGGGAAAGAAAACACCTGGTTGCAGGCAAAGCTTTGATGCGGGACGCGATATCAGATAAGTCATGCCATCCAGGAGTCGCGTGCAGGACGAAGCCAGTCCCTGGTGCAAGCCTCACCTCCCTCCCACGGGGTATCCTCTGGGCCAAAGATTACAGCATGCCATCGCATAATGTCATTTTGTACGGGGGCGCCGCTCACACCAAATGGTGGGTCACTCTGTAGCTTGCGAAAGTCACGGATCAGGCGTTTCCTCTGCATTGCATATGCTCACAGCAGCGACTGTATCAGTAATATCACTAACAACAGAATTACTTAGCTGGTATTCCCTGTTTTTTGCCGTTGCTCCGCCGAAACTGTTAATTCACACAATGCATGTGCCGGTCAACCGTGGAATGGTAAGCCTAATTGCCGGCACTTTGCAAAGCGGGGTTACAAAGGTGATGAAGCGGATCAGAATACACTCGCTGTCTCGGCTATGTCTGTGCCGAGTTCAGCACATTTAAGCATGTGCCTTTATGCGGAACTGCCGCGCCAAGGCGTTACGTCACAGCAACAGCTGCCCAAGCCCTTCAGGCGACTCCCCAATACGTGTTTAAGCGTTGTTGAAGAGAGACTTTGTAAAAGGCCAATACACGACCTACAGCATGGCTCGCCATGGTTCAACAAGACCTGGTTTCAGCTCGACAACGGGAACGGCACTCCGCACCACCTTAAGGGAAAAAGTTCGTCAGATCACTATATGATGCAAAAGCCATGAGCGCTCCGTGATGAACACGGAGAATATAATTTGCAGCGAAATCCGTTTTCCGAAGTCCAACTAAAGCCTTGATTCGTTGAGCAGGCGGCTGGCGCACCCCTGTGCGTCCAGCCCGGCTCCACTGTGCATGCGTTCCCTACGACTTCTTAGTTTATATTGCAGTAATAGGATAAATTTACAGTAAAATGAATATGAAGTAGAGGGTCAGAGACTCCCGGGAGGCTACGCGTAGCTTGGTTTATTCGGGTAATCTGCTCGTAAGAGCGTTAGTGGCCGACCCGGACCCGGTCGGAAGGTTGCTTCATAAGCTACTGTTCCTAAAATAATGCAGTGACGCATTTTACAAAAAATGCGTACTATTGTCTTGCGGTCTCTGGACCGGGAAGCAACTACAATCTGTGTGTTTCCCTTCCAGCATCACCATCCAGCCCATACGGGAGCTCTCACACAGCGACCACCACAGTGGTGCATTAACACATTGGAAATCCGCGAATCTCTTCCCGCTTCCATCACTAAAATGAAGCGTTATAGGCATGAAGATATTCCGGAGAGAATTAACAAACTGTGATCGACGGGCTACAGCAGTATGTGACGGCGCTATAGTGTGTATCTGCATCACAAAAGGCAGCACTCCTTGAACTCGACCCTAATCTCAGTTTTTGAGGCTGTCGGAATTGTGGAGGAGCTACCAAGGAGTTTCACCGTAGTTCTGCACCCACGAAATCGCTGCCTCGTCTTCCCAGGGCTGTTGAATTTTTCGCACATCGAAATACTAGACTTTGGGGACATCGAACTCAGGCGAAACCACTGCGTACTATTTGCGAACATAAAAGAGGAAAGCTGAGTCTCGCGCTGTCTTGATCCGTTGGCTGGATGGCCTAACCAACTATATACGTTCATTGAACTAAACGTTCGTGCTAGACGTCGTTGAGAACGTCTTTAAACAAGAGGTTCGAACCGACTATAGCATATTAATTTGGCTCTACTGAACAATCGCTCCGCAATCCTATAGACATACTATACCGATTCGAACGCGTCGGAACGCGCCATCGATGCTGTGTAGGCGGACTCTGTTCGGCAGTAGAGCTTCACAGGCGCTGCAGCAGCGGGAGGAATTATCTGGTTCTCCACGAGTTGCAGTCTAATATTGCGCCTTCCTCTCAGGCTCGTGCTTGTTGATCTGCCCTGCACCGTAATTCGTCAAGCGTCATCACTGGTTCTACAGCGCTTAGAGATGTCCGTTTCAGCAGCCTTGTCCCTGTCCGAGCCTGGGGAGTTTGGAAGCTATACCCAATATGTTTTTCCTCGAAGAGGGAAGCCACTACACAGTGGGATCACTCCTGCGCTGCTTGGCACAGACTTGAACGACACTTACGAAGCACACGACGAGGGCTGTCACACTTACTAAAGCATCGATGCAGTAAATGACTCGGCCATTGCGCTTCTGAGGTAAGCGAAAAAACAGGCACAATTTTGTTACGTCAACTTCCTACGGGTCCAAGGACAAATCTTCGCATTGCTCCGAAACTGCGCAAAAGCATATGCGCGCGGGAAATGCCACTGCATACTGCCACTGCATATCAAGCTGTTCCTGCAAAAGCCTACTTCTGACCCTGGAAATTGATGTGAATACGTGTGTTGTGTCTTGCTGCCTAGCTAGGGAAACAGCAGATTGTGAGCGCTTCAACAACCCCATAAGTATCGCTATTCGCCTTCACTGGTACTCCGGAGATCGGGCACTCCAATAATTCATCAAATTACGCTGTTCGCGTTCATTGTTACTTGGAAGAGTGCTTGGCCGGCTCTGTAGTAGCGTGTGTGTAGGTTCTCGGCGGTAGCTGTTTCTGCAGCCCCTCCTTTTCGTACATAGGAATAACGCAGAGGAGCTTTACGCCCACTAGAGACACCAAGCGTTCCGTACACCCTCAAGTTGGCCGGCAAAGAAGCCAGAGTAATACCATGAGTGCAAGAGGTCTGCAAGAGCTTCTGCATTTTCCACATCGAGGCTGCCCGTGATATTATCAATCATTTTCTTTAATGCACCTCTCGCAGGGTTTGGCGTGGAACGTGTAGCAGCTCCCATAGCATGAGGCTGACACATTAGGCTTTCTGGGGCCACCAGACAGGCGAGCTGTGCTTGCGTACGTCTGTCAAGTCGTTGTGTCCCCAGAGCATGCTGCTCTGGCAGGCGCCCTTCAAGCATCTCGTTTAGTCGCGTTTGCGCAAGCCAAGACACAGCAAGGCGCGGATTGACTCTGCAGAACTCGCGGTCGACAGGAATGGCTGGGGGCAGTAACGACTCCCCCAAGTCTGCCCCCAACTGCGCGATGAACCCATGCTTCTTTGCTGGTTGCCGGCAATTAGCAGAAACTGAGGCACACTGTTTCCTTTCATCACCGCCCTCTGTTGTCGCCTCCGAGCTGCAGAAACCAAAAATCTGCGGGTTGTCTAGAATTGCTGACCTTATGCTGCCGAGGATGTGAGGGAAGTTTGCACCTAAACACAAAAGCACAGCATCCTGAGGAATAAACGTGCTAGGGATTCGCCACAGAAGCTGCAGAACAAACAGCTACAATACAGTGATAATTCCTCCTAACTTCTACATTCAAATTCTTCGCCGTCGGCGACTGAATAACGTAGAGAGATAGTCACTGATGCTAGGGCAAGAAAGGAACGCCATACAGAAACCAAGGCGCCGTAGCTACGCAGATAGGAGCTAAATGGAGCGGGACTATCCGAATTCACGTACGTTTTAGAGACGCAGCCACATGTTCTTTTAACTGCGTATCAATGCAGTCGTCAGCCACGCAAGAACCTTCCGCCCTTTTGAACTGGAGTGTGCCCCCCTCCACCGCCAATCCGTTTCCACGGAGCTTCTGTGCCTCTAAAACCCTACCTGAGGATTTCTCATCAGCTGGGCGGCCGCATGTAGATGCATCTGGGGAGCTACGATCCGAGCTGAGCTTTGTCGTGGGACCAGCCTCTAGTGTGCACGAGCTGCTTCCCGAGGAAACAGCAGGGGGCTCCGCAACTTCTGCAGCTGCTTTCGCAAGCTGTGAATACCAACGCACCACATGAGGAAGCAGACAAATGGAAAACTAAGTGTCGCAGAAACCGAATTGAAAGAATCATGCGCAGACACAAACCCGGCGAGAGCACAGTTCTGTGTATTTATTACGACCGCTTAAACACCCTAATGAAAAAACGAACGAAAATACTCAGTAAACACTGGCACAACAGCCACCCCATATTTCATTCAAGTTGTTATAAAGCCGTTAATGCGGGGCCTACAGAATGCGAGCTGATGAGTTGGGCGAAGAAGGAAACCACTGGGTCAGCGTCCGCCTTGCTGGCTTCCTGGTGAACGCACCAAGTGGCCTCTGCTGATGTGATCACGTTAGAGATGTGTGACGCGTCTGCTGTTGTGGGCTCGCTGGAATCACTATTCGTATCCTCATCGCCCTCCGATGCAAATGAGCTCTGCAATTCCACAGATTCCAGCACTGGTTCGCTGCCCCCTAGGTCAGCTATGTCACCCTGGAGATCCGCAAAGTGATCAGAAGCATCTTGAGATCCTGTAAGTAGGCAATTGGCCTGTTGTTCCTCTGGTTGGGAGCCGCTGGTATCACTAGCCTGCTCGCCTGCTGTGCCGCCCATGGGTACAACTGGTAGGAGGCTCCCAGCCAACAAACACACGATATCCTTTCTCTGCGGCAGGTGGCCGCTTTCTTGTCCCGCTGTTCACTATACAGAAATCCAGAGCGTGTCAAGATATTGTGACAAGTGAGATCTCCTTACGGTCATGTGCAATCGGTTTACGGGTCAAGGACTACATGGTTCAACTTCTACTCGCATGCATGCTGGGGGGGAAAGGCTCAAGCTCCCCAGGAAAGATGAGCAACTTGTTGCCGCTTCATGCGCCAACTGTTCTTTAAAAAATTCCAAGAAAACTTGCTATACTTATTGCGCTGGCCAATGGCGCTTTCCTGCTTGTGGGGCTGATAAAGACTCCGGTGGACCAGTAGTGCTGCACGAAGCCTGCCCCTTGGAATTCTTCGCTGAATCCCTATACGAATACAGCATCAAATGCGAATAGGTTATTGAGAAGAAGATCCACACGCGAAGACCCCATTTAGGGGCTTCGATTCCTTTGACAGTATGAGGATAAACTGCATAGATTTACGGCAGTGTTCGCTTAGGACTGCCTCTTCACTAGGCGCACAGGGTTTTTAAATTACAACATATTCAAATGACGCTGCAGTTTCCTCTACAGTTTTCGCACAATGTAGTGTCACGTAGTGTCACGACTCAGCGTGCTGCTGGTGCGGGTCTGCGACCTGTCCGCCAAGCTCCGTGTGGCATGCGTGTTCAGAGCACTCGTTTTTTTCTATAGTAAGTTATCCGTCATTTGGGATCGTTTCAGCAAAATCATTTGCTGTATCTAGTCAACAATGCCTATTACGTGCTCTTCAGGCTATTAAACTGTATAGGCAGCCCAGTC